TCAGTCTGTGTGCATTGAATTTATTTAATACACGAGTTTCACAATTTGAGTTGAATTACTGAAATAAATGAACTTTTCCACGACATTCTAATTTATTGAGATGCACCTGTATACAGATTCATTTTTTTATTTTTATTTAAGAAAAATTTGCAAATGCAAAATAGTTTCATGGCCAGTAAGAATGTTTATGACCTCTAAATGTACTAAATGCTCTCATAATTGGCAGAAGTGACAAAAAGTTAATTTTAGACCCTGGTTATATTTATTTATTGTAACATTTTAAAAGTTTTATTTTATTATTAAATATTTTTGTTTTATTGCAGTTTTATATTTTTTATTTGATTTGATTTGATTTAAAATATTCAGAAGAATCTGAACATCGTTGAGGACAAATATACATATTTTTTCCCATTTTATTATTTTTAATTAATTAAAAGAAAAATGCAAAACACAGTTTCATGGCCAGTAAGAAATATGTATGACCTGTAAATGTATGTACTAAATGCTCTCAATTGGCAGGAGTGGCAAAAAGTACATTTTGGACCTTGGTCATATTTATTTATTATAAAATATTTATAATTTTATTATACAATACTATTTTATTATGAAATTTAAATTTTATTATAAAATATTTTAATTTTATTATCTAGTATTTTGTTGAATCATAGCATTTTATTTTATTCTAAATTGTATTTTATTTTTATTTATCAATTTTATTTCCGCCCGTGTGCAGTACTGTAATCTGTCTGTCTGTGGCAGGGCTGAGGAAGATCTGGCTCCAGGACTGAGACAGTGGCGTAAAGCTCTCAGCGAGGTGTGCAGTGCCAGTCAGCTCGCTCTGTGTCTACAGCAGCTGCACAAGTCCATCGCCTGGGAGAAGTCCATCATGAAAGTGGTGAGTACTGGGAGTCCACAGCTTGTGTAGTTTGATGGGAATTGATTTGCAGGGTTTTCAGGTTGAATGTGTGTGTATATAGTTCAGATCTGTGTGGTGGTTTATAGATCTTGGTTAGTTTCTTTGAAGTGAAGTGATCCAGATGTGTTTATGGCTCAGTACTGTCAGATCTGCTGTAAGGGAGACAACGAGGAGCTGCTGCTGCTGTGTGATGGATGTGATAGAGGCTGCCACACGTACTGCCATAAACCCAGGATCACCACCATACCAGACGGAGACTGGTTCTGCCCGGCCTGCATATCCCAGGTGGAGCACTTTAGTACTTCATTAACACTCTCCATCATGTCGTTCCAAACCTGAATGCTGTTGTTTTTTTGTCATCATGCAATTTCAGAAGAATATTTTCACAAAATGTCAGTTCATATTGACCAAAAACACCATGAAAGTATAATAAAAGTAGTCCATGTGACTTGTGTGCTAATTTTTAAGTGTTCAACTGCTGTTCAGTTGTCAAATCTGACACAACAAATTGATATGTCATTTTCCTATGCAAGAACAATTATTATTATTATTATTATTATTATTACTACTACTACTTGGCACACTGACGACGACGACAACAACAATAATGATAATAATAAATTCAAGATGTTATTGAAACATTTATTTATTTTTTATAAATAAAATTATTAACAACAACAATAATATAATAACATCAATAATAATAATAATAATATAAAAAAATCATGTATGTAGTAGTCAAATCTATACTTCATTATAATATTATAATTTTATTATTATTGTCACAGTTTTTAATAATAATAAATTTTATAATATAATAATTCTTTTTACTACATTTTTCATTACTTTTATTTATTACAAATTTGACTACTACACTTACTATTATTTTTATAAATGATAAAATTATTATTATTATTATTACTACTACCAATTATTGTTATTACTACTACTAGTACTACTACTTATGACACTGATAACCACAGTAATAATAATAAAATTATTAAAAAATAAATAAATAATAATAATGTAAAAACGTAAATAATGAATGTAATAAAATGTATACTTTATTATAACTTTATTATTATTATTATTAGATCAGAGTTTTAAATAATAATAAACATTATAATATAATATTATAATAATTCGTTTTACCACATTTTTATTACTTTTATTTACTACAAATTTTACTACATTTATCATTATTTTTTATAAATCATAAAAATTATTATTATTGAAGTCAAGAGTTTTGAGTGGTAATAATAATATTCTAAATTATTACTGCACTTATTATTTATTGTTTTTATAAATAATAAAACTGAATTATAATAATTATAATGTTTACAGTATTTGCTTTTGTTTATTATTTTAGTTTTGTATTAGGACCAACTATTGGGAAATCACTGGGGAATTTGGCTTAACAATTAGCAGTAGTTAACAATTTAAAACCATAAATATTTTATTCCTTCTCAATCCTTCCATCTGAATTCAATTCTCAAGCACACATGCACCCCTAAATATACTTAAATGTGTAAATACATAATGCTGCTGAATGAACATCTTAGCTGCAGTAGTCTGTTGTTCATGAAGACATCAGAGTCTTTGGCCTGTGTTTGGAGATTTAGTTTCCTCACTAAAGCGTTTGTCTCTGTGTAGGCGAGCAGTCAGTCCCTGAAGACCAAGCAGGCCTTGAACCGCTCAAGCGGAGGCCTGAAGAAACCTGCTGAGGCCAAGCGGCACAAGAAACCGTCTGTGGCTGGAGACTCAGAGGAGAATTTGAGCGGCGCCAACAGCACGCCCAGAAAAGTGTCAAAGGACATGAAAAAGAGGAAGACCGAGGACAGTCCTTCCACTAACCCGGCAAAGCAGGAGAGTCCCAAAATATCCAGAGACCACAGTAAAGACCTGACCTTGTGCAGGTACTGTACCAGAGCCGCAAACCTTGTGAATGCGCTTTACTTCAGTTTGCGTGTGAATCAGCTGTCACTGATCGGTCTTTTTCAGAATACTCTTGGCTGAGCTGGAAAGCCATCAGGACGCCGGGCCGTTTCTGACACCCGTCAACCCCAAATCTGTCCCGGGATACCGCAAGATCATCAAGAAGCCCATGGACTTCTCTACTATCAGAGACAAACTCACCAACAGCCAGTGGGTGTCACTAGTTAGCTAGTCATTATTTTTCTAGTTATTTGCAGTTATTAGTAGGGCTGGGCACTACAATATTTAAGCCTTTTCGGTGATATATTTATTGATCATGATCATTTTTATTTTATATTTATTGATGATGATGATCATTTTTATTTTATTTTTAACAAAACATTGTAGTCAAGTAGATTGAGACTAGTCATTTATTTAAAACACAATTTTTTCATATTTTTATTATTGTTTTATATTTTATTCACTATTATTTATTTTTATTTTATTTTACTTTTTTGTTTTATAGTAGACCATAATTTTAACCAAACAGTCATTATAGTCAAGTAGATTAAGTAATTTATTAAAAAACGATATTTTTACCCTTTTGGTGATTATATTTATTATTTTAATTTTATTTTAACATTCATTCGAGTCAAGTAGATTAGTACTTTATTAAAAAACACAACATTTTTTTATGCTTTTGATAATATATTAATTGTTGATGATAAAAAAATAATAGTTTTAATAATATTATTTATTTAATAATGTTTGTGTTTTTATTTTTGTACTTTTCTTTTATTTTCAGTGAAATGATAATTTTAACCAAACTGTAGTTTTTTTTATATCCATTTTTTTTTTCCTGTTTTCATCAATATTTTCCACTACATAACCAAAATGTATATGCACCAGTATAATACATAGCTGATGAATCTCAGTATTTGCCATCAAAATTACAGTGAATGTTTAATTCAATACCCAGTGTGTGTGTGTGTGTGTTGTGTTTGCTTTTGACTTTTCTCATCGCAGGTACTTGAATCTTGAGACTTTCATCATTGACGTGAACCTGGTGTTCGATAACTGTGAGAAATTCAACGAGGATAATTCCGACATCGGCCGAGCGGGACACGAGATGAGACGCTTTTTCCAGAGGAGATGGACCGAGCTGTTGAGGCAGAACTCGCTGAAACCAGTTCAGATGATGGAGAGTCATTTACACACCATTCACGCCACACACTCAAATCAAGTACAGGGGCACAACTGTGAGAACATCAATGCTTTCAAAAATATCTTGTGAATATGTTCGTTTTTTTCCCCCGTTTTTTTAAATAAACGTTAATATTATAGTCAATGTACTGTATTTAATTTGTCTTTAATTATTTATGACTAAAAAGGTCTTCACTTTCTATGGAAAAAGAGGCAAAACTGCTTTAAAAATCTAAATGAATGTGTTTTCTTGATCAGATATGAAAAAATAACGTGTTTACATAATTCTGAGCTCCTAGAGAACAGAAGATCCATTATGGTTACATTATAAAGCTGCATTTATGTAAATGTGTATGTTTTAAATCACAAACTCCAAAACAGGCCATCGTGACATGACTATTAATGTTTAATATCAGTTCTGAATATTGTATTCTGTGCACACAAGACTCCAGCATCGTTTATGCCTTTTTAATAGTTGTAATGTGTTTTAATACGGCACTTTCTGAAAACAGCAGTGCCTTCAGAAATCCTCAGTTTTTACAACTTCTCCAACCTCAATCAATCTATTCCGATGCACGAGCATTCAACCAGTGATTGCTGGATTTTTTACATCATCATTGCTGTCGCTCATATACAATGCAACAATAAAACGGATGATGAAAACCTAACCATATCTAGAAATCAGAATTTTCTTCTATATTTTTTTTTTTGACTTCGCAACCGCTTAGCAAACACTCTTGCGTTGTGACGGCAAATTTTGCACGTGCAAAAGTGCTGTTGTGATAAATCTAGTTTACATGATGATTAATGTAATGAACTGCAGTGATTTTTATGGTACTAAAGTCAGAATACTTGAATTCTCCTGTGTGAAGATATTGCAATGAAGGTGTAGCGTTCTGTTTTGTAGGAGTTTTATTTTTCTCTAGTTTGTGTCGAATATTTAATAAAATGTTTTCAAGCAGCCTGGTTGTGTTTATACTGTTGATGCTGTTTTATTCGTGAGATGATCTTATTTGTACCCGTTTTAATGACTTCTTACAGCTGTATTTCTGTCTGTCTCTTCTCGAATCTACTCCTGCAACAGAATCATGATGAGTCTCTCCATTGGTTCATTCAGTGGTTATTTATTCTTGTGTCCATTTTTATATTTGATTTTACTTTCATTTATTTAAAAAAAGCAATTTTTTTTATTATTATTTCAATTTATCCAGTCATTGTAGTCAAGTAGATTATGACTGCTTATTTATTAAAAAACACAATATTTTCAGCCTTTTAGTGATATATTTATCTATATCTATGATATATTTATCTATATTTATACTACTACTAATAATAATAATAATAATTATTATTATTAATTATATCCAATTTGATCCAGTCATTGTAGTCAAGTAGATTGACTAAAAACAATATTTTCAGCCTTTTAGTGATATACTTATTGATAATAATAATACTTTTTTATTTTATCAAATTTTATTTAATCCAATTATGTTTTATTTTATTCAATTTTATCCAAACAGTCATTGTAGTCAAGTAGATTATGACTAGTCTTTTATTTAAAATAATATAATAACAATATCTTCAGCCTTTTGGTGATGTATTTATTAATAACGGTGATGATATTTTTTATTTTATTTTATCCAATTTTATTTTATCCAAAAAGTTATTGTAGTCAAGTAGTTTGAATAGTCATTTATTAAAAACAATATTTTCAGCCTTTTAGTGTTATACTTATTGATAATAATAATATTTTATTTTATCCAAACAGTTATTGTAGTCAAGTAGATTGACTAGTCATTTATTAAAAACACAATATTTTCAGCGTTTTAGTGATATACTTATTGATAATAATAATAATAATATTTTATTTTATCCAATTTTATTTTATCCAAAAAGTTATTGTAGTCAAGTAGTTTGAATAGTCATTTATTAAAAACAATATTTTCAGCCTTTTAGTGTTATACTTATTGATAATATTTTATTGTATCCAAACAGTTATTGTAGTCAAGTAGTTTGAATAGTCATTTATTAAAAACACAATATTTTCAGCCTTTTAGTGATATACTTATTGATAATATTTTATTTTATCCAAACAGTTATTGTAGTCAAATAGATTGACTAGTCATTTATTAAAAACACAATATTTTCAGCCTTTTAGTGATATACTTATTGATAATAATATTTTATTTTATCCAGTTTTATTTTATTTAATCCAATTATATTTTATTTTCAATTTTATCCAAACAGTCATTGTAGTAGATTATGACTAGTCATTTATTTAAAATAATATAATATTTCCAGCCTTTTGGTGATGTATTTATTAATAACGATAATAATAATTAATTTTTTTTTATATTGTTTTTAAGTTGTTTTGTTATTTTATTTTATTTTATTTTATGTTGATCCATGTGACAGAAATATGAGTCTCTCATTGGTTGACCTGTGTCTCTGTTTGTGCAGGTGTTGTGTAAAGCTCAGATAACCTCGGGGGTTTATGAGGTGATACTACAGTGAATTATCAGGTATCCCAGACAACAGACTCGGTCATGTGGCGTTCCTGCACTGTATCACAGCAGGAAGTGTTTGGAAGGGAGATTCACAGAGGCCTGAGCTTCAGGAATCATTCTCTGTGTATGTTTGCTTAACTTATATAATCTGTACAATCTCTTGTTTTATGTAGGTTATTGTGTTAAAGTTGTGCATTTCCAGATATTGATTTACTAAATGTATTTTCAGGGTTTTGGGAACAATCTTCATGTGAATCTTCTGCCATCAGGTGAGTCTTTCCTGAACCTTTTGAACATGAAATTGACATTTTTATGTATCTATATAAAAGGGTTTATTAGATTTGTGGAAATATACTCTGAACACGAAATATTAATAATGATCTGGTTATTAACACAAACAGATAGCTAGTTATTGCTCAATGAGGGATTTACAGTTAGTTTACATGAAGAGGTCAATGTGAAGTTCATGTTCATATTAAACATTTGTGTAAACACCACATTCATTAATCAAATCCATTGATAATACAAAGGGACGTTTGTGCTGCAGTTATCCTGCCTGGACTATGATACTTTGTTAAAACACAAGATGATGGAAAGTAATAATGAGGCCACAGGGAAAGAAAACGTAATTATCAATTAACTTTTCGCAAGAAAACATGTTTTGTTCGTGAGGAATGAATGAATAAATTGTCAAAAAAGGTGTGTATAAATTAGCTAGACTGTATAAAAATTTAACTTTTATTTCAAATATTATTATTATTATATACTATTGTATACTATTAAATATACTATTTAAATATATATTATATACTAATATACTATTAAAATACTTATTGTCAGTTTAACATTTTATATAATATTAAGACTGATGGGGACATTAAAAAACAAATTACACTAATTAAAAGGATTTAAATAATTTAAAAGTATATTAGAATTTTAAATATATTAACATGTTTTTAAATTAATATTTACTATTTATTTTAAAGGGGTCATATGATGCGATTTCAATTTTTCCTTTCTCTTTGGAGTGTTACAAGCTCTTGGTGCATAAAGAATATCTGTAAAGTTGCAAAGACTAAAGTCTCAAATCCAAAGAGATATTCTTTATAAAAGTTAAGAGTCAGCCACACCTACCTAAAACGGCTCGATATATTAAAATGATATATATTTATATATTATATACTTTAATATTGTCAGCATTTTATCCAATATGTTAAGACATATAATGATGGAAACATGGAAAAAGAACAACATGCACTCAAACAGAAAGGATTTAAATTGTTTAAAATAATTAAATCTTTTTTTTAATTTTAATTATATATTATATATTTATTGGATATTAAATATATATTAAAATACACTAGTCAACATTTGAAGTGTTTCATCAAAGTTGTCCTAAAACCAAAATGCGTTCTTGTCTTAGAACAACTGATTAACTTTTTTGATCCACTTCAAATGTTGACCACTGTATATTATCAGAATCAGAATCAGAAAGAGCTTTATTGCCAAGTATGTTTGCTGTTCTTGTGCCTGGCTGTCCTGGTATTCGGTGCTCTGTAACGCCGACCAGATGGCAAAAGTTCAAAAAGGAGATGGCTTGGATGTGATGGATCCAGAGTGATCTTCTGAGCCCTTTTCCTCACTCTGGATGTATACAGTTCTGTATACAGAACTTATTGTTAAAAAGTTAATTGTTAGTAAATGACAATATTATGTTTTAATATTGTCATCAGACACATTTTACCCAATATGTCAAGACATGTAGCGTTATGTCGCAGGTGTTTAATAAGTGTTTCCTCTCACAGATGCTCTCGGACCGTTTTCTGGCCTCATGTTCCGGAGACAAAACCGTGCGCGTGTATTCCTGCGAGGACTTCCGCGAGCTGCACTTCTCTCCTCTGAATGCTGGACGCTCTCTCTGCTGTCCGGCGCGTGCGACGGGACTGTGGCGGTCTGGGACGTGACGTCAAAGATGCTGCAAAGGTCAATTTCATTTGTCAGTTTAAAAAAAAAATAGCATTAATGTTGAGACATAATAACATTACGAGCCTATATGGAGGGCCAAATTACTCAAAATTACATCATTCAATAAATGCTGAAATATATAAGTCGTTAAATGCATAATTAAATAACTAAATACATAACAATGTATGTAATACAACATTTATTTATTTATTTATGCATAACAATTTTTGACTTTTTAACAATTTTTTACAATTAATAATTATTAATAAATAATTTTAACAATTATTTTTGACAATTTTTATTGATTTAGTTTTAGTTGGGGCCCTGAAAATAATCCCTAGATTTTCTTTTCTATTTCTTTCTCTTTTTTTTTCTTTTCTTTTCTTTTCTTTTCTTTTCTTTTTTCTTTTCTTTTCTTTTCTTTTCTTATTAATGTATTTATTTTAGTTTATTTTTAATTACATTTTATTACACCTACATTATTTTTTAACAAAATTACACTTATGCGTTGAGTATAATTGTCTTTTCATGAATACAAAATATACATGGGTCCATCAAGTGTTTGATGAGGGTTTGTTTGCTGTGTACTGTGTGTGTCACCTGTAGATGTGCTAAAGTCAGTGAGGGCAGCGTCCTGGCCTGCTGTTTCTCCCAGTGTGGACAGATGTTCGTCCCAGGCTCCAGTCAGGGTGTGTGAAGACTTTACACACACAGAGAGAAGCTCATGATCTGGGAGTCAACTGCTGCCACTTCTGCCCTCAGATGAGCTTCGGTAACAGTCCATATCATCTCTCTTCTGCTGCAGATGATTATTAGTACTCCCTCTGCTGGAGACTGATGGGATTTACCTGCAGCGATGTGCGAAAGTCTGATGTTTTTCTCTGGTCCATATTGCAGCTTAATCTGGGCACAAAAACGCCAGTTTAGACAGAAAAACACCTTCTAACTGATATTAAAATAAAGCAAACTCAATTTTTGTTTGCCATGATTGTATGCTCTTTTTGAAATTAGAATTTTTCCATTATGGTGGAACAGTCTGCAGTCAAAACAGTAAAGCCTATTTTTAGGCCTAAATGTAAGATTTTTTGAATTGCTTATAAAATGTCCATCCATTTGATTTTTAGTATTAGTTTTAAAAAATATTTTATTTCCGTTTAGCTATTTGTGTGTCAAGTTAAACTAAAAGAAAATGAGAAGTCTTGACAATTAGCTGAAAAAAGGTAATTTTTAGTTTGTTTATTCTAATTTGAGTAACACATTTTTATGGTTTAGTATTAGTTTTGATTTTAGTTTTAGCTAAGTATAATTACTCTGCAAATAATCCCATTTTATTTCTTAATTTGTTTTATTTTATTTTACAACTAGGGATTATTTTGAATTACATATAAAATGTCCATCCATTTGGATTACACAGTTTTAACATAAAATAATAATCTGAATGTCAGACATATTTGTCAGTCATATGTAATTGAAACATATGTAGTGTAACACTTTCTATGAAGCCCGTA